CATACTGACAATGTTTTTAAGCTTTTTGTTTTCTATGGTATATCACACAAACATTAATAAGATCTCTATGTTTGTAAAAAATCACTGATAAAAGATAATGAGAATTTTTTTTTGGCGTTTCAGTTTGACAAATGGTGATGTGATGATGATGAATTTTACTAAAAGTGTCATTTCTGGCCATCTAGAGGTACTACACTATTTCCTCACCTCAGCTCCAACCATGGTGGGGCTGAGATGGGTGTCGACTCACAAAATGCCCTCCACCTCCACCTTTCAAAACAGATCCGTGCCCTTCTCTGGGTATGACATTAAACTCCATCGAGTCGGCTCCTGAGGTATGTCTTAGTGGTTGCTGTTTGTTTTTAGGATGTGATTTGGTTTTTCATGTCCATTTTTCGTGATTATGACTATTCTGGATAAAGAATATTTTGAGCAGAGGTGGATTCAAGGACCGCCCCCCCCCCCCTTCATTTTTTGAAGGGAAAAAAAGAGAAAAATATATTCAAATTGAAGTGCGAGAGTTCAATTTCCGGCCATCTAGAGATGCCCTAATCATAAATTTTTCTACCTCAGCCCCAACCATGGTGGGTCTGAGGTGGGTGGTTCCTCGGTCTGTGAAAGTCCCTCCCTGGTTCACCTTTCTTTCGAATTCCTGGATCTACCAGTGTTGATTTATTATATAATTATTTTTGGGCTTATTATCCTCTCAAACAGTCCTGAGTGCGCTACTTCACAGGGGGATTCGCCCCCTTGACCCCGCCGGGGTCCTACGTAATTCGCATAACGGCTCCCCTCCTTTCAAAATCCTGGCTACGTCCCTGATGGACTCTCATCAAATTTCATCATGCTGGAAATCATACCGTATAGCATCATTCCCGCAGCTAAGAAACCTCAACCTACTCTTGAGCGCATAGTGTGTTCTATTTTCTCTATGACAGTAGCAAGATATCCTCTAGGGCCATTGTCATCTCAAATTGATCCTCTACAATTCGCCTATCAACCCCATGTAGACGATGATGTGTTGACTCTCATTCACCTAATTCAACAACATACTGATGATAAAACAGGTACTTACCCACGCGCCACGTTCATCGATTTCGCCTCTGCGTTCAACACAGCTATACATGTATATTGAAAAATTGAAGTTGACACTGTGGATTAAAGACTTTTGCAAATACAACGCGTGTCAGTGTCAGGAACTTTATTATATGAACGGCGAGCAACGACTGTTGGAATGGCGCCATATGAATGGAACGATTGATTGATTGATTGATTAATTGATTGATTGATTGATGAACACTGATCCCCTCAAGGGTGTTTTTGTCACCATTACTGATATTCTATATACAAATATGACTATCGCTAAATGGTTTTGAGCGACAGTCATTTGTATATAGAATATTAGCAAATTATTTTTTTTTTTCAGTTTTGAAAACACACTATTCTAAAATATGCTGACGACACTGTCATTGTCGGTCTTATTAAGAATGATCCATATCATTATTTCAACGCTATAGAATCTTTTAATCAGTGGTGTCATGAGAACAACCTGAAATTAAATAGTAGCAAGACAAAAGAGATTTTAATTACAGTAAGAAAAAAAACAAAAAAAAACTTAGTACCGCTAATGTTTAACAATGATGCTATTGAAGTAGTGACAATATAGTAATTGATGACACTTGAACTAGGGAGAGCAATGTAAATTACTTGTACCCAAAGCCAAATCTACTAGTCATTTAAAGTTGATAATGCAATACTCGGTTTTTTTACACATCAATACAATATATATTGTATGGTTGTTTTGGTTCGGAAATCTCAGACAAAAGAATGTTGTAAAATTACAGAGAGTGATTAACCAAGCAGGTAGAATCCTTAAAGGAAACATGTTTCTGAATGACTTATGTATCAATAAGATTAAAGAAAAGCAACACTTATATCATGCAGGATGCTGCTCGCCCCTTCATAATAATTATGTATGTCGCCCTCAATGTATACCATATTATTACAAGAAACATAACAACTCGTTATGTGTGTATAGAATAAAGTCTCCACAATATCCACCGCAATCATAATATTTTGTTTCTCTTGAAACTTGTATTGTTAGCTTGCAACTATCAGCAGTATGGTTTAGTAACATTTATTTATTGATGCATAAAGATAAAGTTAAATTATGTGAACTGGTAGGCCTACTCTGCTCTGAATACTATTTGTACAGCATTACAACTTACAGTACTGTATTAACTACTTTGCTTTAATATATATTATTGTAGAAATTCATCAGGATTTCAAACGATTCAAAATACCAAATGAAACAAAAAATAAATAAATAAAAAAATTACAAAAAAAAAAATTTAAAAAATAAAACAAAACCCCAAAAAGAGACTTTTGATATTATGTATTTTTAATATAGGCCTAGGCCTATATTGTTTTTTAATTAGGCCATGTTACAATCATTTTAGTATTTTTCATACTGTATATATTTTGGTTTTTTTAAACCTTGAAATGAATTGTTTGTCGCCTAGTATTTCTAATTTGGACACTAAATTAAATCACACAGACTGTTAAAACAAGCATTTATTTTTTTGTAAAAACGATTTATTAAACAGAACCTGCAGTTTATGTAAATTCAAAAAGTTTGGGGGTAGATTAATGTAAAGCAAAGATTTAGAGAGGGCCTTCTAAAACGTTTTTTTTTTTTCTTTTTAATGTAACTCCACTGATTTGCAAAGAGCAACAAAAACTAATCACTTAGTACTGTACTGTACTACACAAGCTAGGATCTTGTAAAGCTTAATGAAGCTGGAATAACAAGCCATTCAGTAGTTTGAACTGCGCATGCCCGTATAAACATCAATCGACATAAACAAGCATTCACACAACCACAGATCTGTGACAACATTGGTTTATGGTGATTACTAATACCGCTGGTAAATGGATTTGCTTGTATGCGCATCCTTCTGGGCTGTAGCTTTGTAGTGGGTAACCAAGCTCATACCGAATTATAGATATATCACTAAACGATACGTTTCTAGGATGACGTCAAACCGAAAGCCCCTTTAAATTTTAACAATTGTTTGCACGGGCAACCTATATATGAATGAAAAAAAGCCTAGTTCTTCGTCTATTCCGAGAGGTATTAAAATGGTCTATTCACCATGAATTTAACATAAATTTCAAAAATACATGTAGCAATATTATTATTCAAAATTGGCGAAGCTCCGTGATAGCTATTCGTTTTCGTGTCGCACTTGCTTAGTGCATAAGATATCGATTATCTGAATCCGCCGTTGATCATGAAAACAAAAAATCAGTCATAAATGCGATGTCAAGGGAGTTTGAAATGTACAGTACTTACAGTGACTAGCCTTGACCAACGTCCAGTTGTATTCTGTATCGTTTTTTTCCAGGTTCCAGGTGGGTCTTAACAGACGACCAGTCGATTTCAAGATAAAAATACTACAACAGTCATCATCAATTAATTCATATATCTGCGTGCTCATATGAGTATGAATAAATACATACTGTAAGCCTAGCTGCCAATCGCACATGACTTGTACATGTGAAATACGCATGATCTGAAATGGGATTTTTGTTGTATATTTTTAACACCAAAGCATGAACAAAAGCAACAAGGTCACGACTGTATTTCCTCCTCCATGCTTGGACTATAGCCAAGTAATAGAGAGGCCCACTAGGGTAATCAGACACTTGCACTGCTTTAAAAATAAATAGGCCTGGTGCCAGTGGGTGGAGTAAGAAGGGCTCTCCTGTCCTCCTGTTGGGGAGAAGAAAAATCTATGTATTTTTTACATGTCAGTCAGATTCTAAGTTTGATTATATTAACCTTTAAAATCCCTAAATTGTTGTAGTTTTCCAGGGGAGGCCCTGAACCCCCTTTGAGTTATGATCGATGCTTGACCACATCCACTTACGATCTTGTCGAGTGAGGCATCAGCCACTCCACCTGATTAAAACAAATGTAAAATTTTAAAAACAGTTGTTGCTGTCTCTGAATTACAGATCGACAATTAGAAGCACCGGAAAATCAAATGTAATGTTGAATAGCATTTCGCGATAATAATAATACCGTAATAATAAACGGATATTCACAATGCGCCGGTATACGTTAAAGATGCTCATGGCGCATTGACATGTCTGAGCAGGCCTGGATAAATAAACTAACAAAATAAATAAAAAACTTAAATAAGAAACGTGAATGCCAACAGCAATTGGTCTCATTTAGGCTTGGTACTTGACAAAGAGATATTTGACAAATTTTTGTGATTTTTTTTTATTAGTTATTTGACAGCCATAAGCTACTGTTATATGAATTCATTGTTGTAATGTATAAACCAAATTCGAGGTTGCTTTCACCAACCCAATTCATTACAAATATTATTTAAATTTAATTTAATTTATTTATTTAACCAAAATTTACATGAAAAAAAATTTAAATAAAACATTAATTAAATTTAATTAAAAGACAATTAAAGAGAAGTATCTCTATAAACCATGAAGGGCCAACTGTCTTGTATACATGATATAATAGCTCAATGAGCCCTAAACGTATAGGCATATGATATTTTTTTTAAAGTTTGTTTATTTCCTGATGAGGGTGCTATATCACCCTCCTTTCTAGCAGTGCTATGTATATAGCTAATTTAACATGTGCATGAAACTTAGTACACATCTTTATCAGTATGAAGTAGATAAGTTAGTAATGTTAAGTCTAAATGATAATAGTAAGTGAAAGACAAAGAGCACTTTCAGACCACACAGTGGTGTTCATCAGGTGAATGTGAGGTGTCTTCACATTCACCAGATGACGACCACTTGGTCGAAAGCTTGTCAGTGTGAAAAGTGCTGTTTGTCTGACATTTACTGTTATCTTCATATTATAATTCCAATAAACTAAATATACAGTACTTCAGGGGAAAATCCAGTAGGGGGAACGGCAATAATCTCCCCCCCCCTCCCAGTTTTGTGACTAGTTTAAAATTTTCAATGCAAATCAATGTTATGTGCTACTCACTTACCTATTCTGAGACAGTTGTGCCCAAGCCCCCCAGCCCCTGTTTGTAAATTCTGGATCCGCCCCTACAGTACTTGATACCTTATCATCAATATACTGTATTTGTTAATAAAGCTAACCCACTGACATAATTACCATATATTTTATAATCCTTCAGAAATATTCACCTTGTTTAACTTGGCTATACATCAATAGTAAAACACAGTAGGTATAAAAATCTTCAAAACATGCATATTTGTTCTAATACAGATATAAAATATAATATTTACTTCAAGAAAATGGGTGAGATATTCAATATAAAAACAAAATAGTAGAAATTGGTTCTGATGTATTACAGTATGTTTGAAGTGGAAAATTATTTTGGAAATTTCATTTTGACATTGACTACAACACAAGAATCCTTTAACAGAATTCAAAGTGTGTTTTTGAGCACCTAGTAAAACTCGACTGAGCCATGGAATCAACCAATTGGCTGTGACACATCATCTAAACTGCATGTCTACTTGCTCACTATTAGAATATTTTTGTACATGAGACAAGGTGGCGAATGATGAATATTTGTTCAGTCTAGATCTGGTATCAAAGGTGAAGTGTCTAAATCACTGGGATCTTCATTAATGCTGTAATGCTTGTGAGGTGGGCTAACTGGTGCTTCCTCCTCTTCTTGAATAACTCTGTCTTTATTTGGAACTAGATTTGATACAAGGCTGGGTGATGCTGCATCGTGGTATTTTGAAGAATTTCCTAATGATGATGAGCGCTGTCTTCTTGAGATCTGCCAAAAGCCAAAACATAAATATAAAAAAATAATATCATGAAAATATTTTGAGATGCATATTTGAATGGCATATCTCAGTCTTGGAATGGGGTTGGGGAGGCTGATGGGGGAAATAGCTAAAAAAATAAGGTGATTTTTAACTACTTGAGCGTGATTTTTGGAGAGAGGGCGCGAGTATTGGGACATGTTACGTATTCGCTGCGACAAAGACATCAGGATTATGCAAGCATCTACTAAATTTTTCAATTTAAACAACCATACTTCCATCAAATCAAATGAAAGTTATTGGAACCTCATACATTCTACTATTCATTTATATGTTCCAACACAGAATGTATGAGGTTCCAATAACTTAAATAAATACTATTGTTCAGTAACTCTGGCTTGTTTTTGACAGGAAATAATGTAGTATACAAATGCGACATAGTTTGAGGTGAAGTAGTGGATGCTACTTCTCTACGTGTCCGATGGTAGGAAGGTAGTTCCCAAATAATACAAGTTGTATTTGTTTTGTTTGCTTTGTAAATATTATCCAATAACCTACCAGTCTTGGGGATTGTAAAAGTGCATCATTAGGGATCTGTACAGAGTTTGCTCTTGATAGTTTAGCCCTCGCTACTTTAACTCGTTTATGGACATCAACGTAAATATCTGTCTCATCAACAATTTCTTCCTGTAGTAGCTCCTCTAGAATGTCTTCAAGAGTTATGATACCTATAGCTTTCTGAAAAAAAGTATTTACAAATTTCATAAAATCAACACAATTTACACAGTGATCAATATTATTTTAAGACCTACTCTATCAACATGCTTTGTGGCTATGTTCATACACGGCTGCTAACGGTTATTATAGCAGAATCCAGATTACAAACATACGCCCTCACCCGTGCATTAATACAAGAAAATCCCTGATCCCAATACCAAGACGAGGATGATCGAATCACTGGCCAATAGGTAACTGGAAATTGAAAATGTGTACTTGTGATTGGTAATGATAGAAATGGGCTGAACTTGCTAACCAATAGTGCTCGCCAACCATTAGCGTATCCGAATCCTTGTAACAGTTAGCTCTAAACACGCATTTTTCAGAAACACATGCGTGACCATAAATTTGCCACGCATTTAGCACAAGTCAATGGGTGTTAACGAATAAGAATTATCACAAATTCAGTGGAAAATGTATTTAAAATTAGAAGAAATTTGTTTTATTAACGATATGAAAACGGTCATGTAGTAACTTTAGTCATCAGAGAGCTTCCGTTATCTCACTCAAGAATCAATTAACCGACAAAATTTTGTTTTCTCAACAAGAACAACCCAGCCAACCACACACTTGGCATGTGAGGTCTTGCGTGTTCATTGTCACAACCAAATTTTGATTTTGTGACTAAAACTTAGACCCCACTATGCCTCCACCCCAAACACATGGATACCATGTATTTTTACTGATTTTGTTATTGTTGCACATCTTTGTGCCTCTTTTATAAAAGAGAAGCAATAAAGTTACTTACTTACCAAGCACAAAGTTTTGTACCTAATTAGTTTTACTAGCTATGTGCACTGCAAACATTAACACAATTGATTTTTGAATATGAAATGTTACAGTATGTATGAGATATAACATGATGATATTAAATGTATTCAAAATATTAAGCTATTAAGTCACCTACAGTTTCTCAAAACTGATCTATTAATATCTACTTTTTGCACCTCTGATGGGGTGTATTTAATTATTTCATTTAGAAGTTTCCCATTTGAAAGCTATTGTTCCCTTAACAAATGTTTCCATAACAATGATACAAAAATATTGACATTAATTTGTATGGCAGTTATACCATTAAGTTGTTAATAGGAATGAAGTCAGACTGTTACATGCTTAAAATTCGTAACTGGATATCTAAGTAAGTTTCCTTTTTCAGCTATTAATATTGCTAATAATATAATTAATAATTATATACTATAAAAATACAATTTGGGAGCCTTGGATAATCCCTTATTGAAAGGAAGTAGAAAGTTGATAACCAAGTCATTTTTGTGGGTTTGAAAAATGAGATATATGATGTCATACAGGTACTTCTAATAGTGCTTAGATCTTTAGTGGAATTGTCCAACTCATTGTACAGAATACTGTAGCATAATCATTCAACAAGGAAGTTCAATTTAATAAATGTTTCCATGGCTACTGTATGACTGGAGGAATTTATGGACAATATTTTTTTTGTCTGTAGTCAGTATTACACTACCATTAACAGCAAAAATGCCAAAAAACAATCATAAAATGCAAATAATATGCATTGTATAGATTATATTCCTCACCAAACAATAAATAATATAGTTTTTACCTGATTTACTACATTGCAAATTCTAGAATGCAGAACAAGCTACTCTATTGAGAGCAATGTAGAGATGCTGGGAGGGCATGAAGGTGAAGTTAGGTGATTTATTGAAAGTAGAAAGTTGATAACCAAGTCCTTTTATGGGGTCTGGCACCTGGTTGCAAAGAGCTGATCATTGAGACCTGTGTACAATAAAATCACTACTGTATGCCTAGTGAAAAACAATCTGTATGCCGATGTCATAGTTATAGTTTAAAGGGGGACTTAGTTTCAAATTTCTTTTATACATACTGGTAGTTAGTTTGCAACTTCTGATAAATGATGGCATTATAAATTACATTGTTTTTCTTTTGCTTTAAATCTTTTGTGTGGTGTAAATCTTTTGTGTGGTGTAGTAGTTTAAGGACACAGCCTCTTGGAAGACCAATCCAAGTTCAGACTAAGTTTTCGTGAATAAATAAAACTAAATAAAATAAATAAATAAAACTGTTATTATTATTATTAGTTATATTTATTTCTGAATTATTCATAATAAAGCTTATGCATGCTTTTACGGTATTGATTTAATTTGTTAAATCAAATACTGTATACTTTTATATCTGAATTAATATACACGTTCACTGCCATAGCATGTGTTTGCGCATAAAAATAGTATTTCTTTTTGACTCGTTTTATAGTTAGTTTATGTATTTAATGTTATTAAAACTATATTTGACTATAATGTATTTCCATTTATTTGTTTATTTTATAAACATGATCAGTAGATAGCATATAATGTATGAAGTAGGTGAATACACATGATAGGCCTCCTTTCCCTGCCATCGTGTTTACACCTAAAAATAGTTCAGTCGCAGGGGTGGCGCTAGCGGGGGGTTCAGGGGAAAAGGACCCCCGTTGGGGACCTCTGAACTCCCCGATTGGACCCCTCTGTCAGAATTTCCAGCAAGGTCATTGGGGAAAAAATGAAATCTCGACTGCCAAAAGTACAATTTAGATATGCCTTACTATTAGCTGTCAAATTTTAGGGATTAAAAACTTTTAATGCGAGCATTGCTACCGTATGTGCGAGATGTTGTATAGCATCACGATTGCAGAGTACATATAAACAGGTTTGAAGGTTAGTTAATAATAATCAATATGGGTCAAGGAGGCAACTTGGTTTAGGGGGGCAACTTTGTTAGCAGGCGACTTTGTTAGGAGCCGACTTTGTTTGCAGTAAGATTACGACCCTTGTACTTGAAAAGTGAGATATGACATGATAAATTGATACAGTACTCCTAACAGGGGTTGAATCTTGAATGGAATGATGAGCCTTTAGGATCAGTGATAAAAACTGGCCAACTCATTGTACAGCAGAGAATAACGACTTAAAAGACCATATACCTGTAAAACTTCAGTATGTTTATGTGGTTAGACAAATTTATACAAAATGTCTGTTTTTTTATGGACAATAAAGTTTTTATGTATTCAGTATTACAATACCATCAAATTTTACAGTATTAGTTATCAGCAAAATGCCGATAAAAAAATCATTAATGCAAACAAAAATCTATAATTGGTATTCAATATATTGTATTCAAATAATTCATACATACACTATACTGCATTTGAATACAATGTACTGTACTTCAGGCATTTGTTTCATGGCATTGCAATGGTGAACAGAAGCAGTCTATGAAATTTCAGTTAATTTCAGGTAGGTTTTCAGTGATTTACCTATAGAACAACAGAACAGGGATATCTAGCAAGCTATCAACTAAGAGCATAATATTGTGTAGGGCATGAAGGTGAAATGAGGTGATTTTTTATTTTACAAGCAGGCAGAAGCTTAGATACATTATATAAACACCTCTTAGATATGCCTAGTGAAAAACAAACTGTATGCTGATGTCACAGATATAGTTTAAAAGGGACTAAGTTTAAAAATTCTTTTAAAATATATACTGTAATACTATAGTTAGTTTGCAACTTGCTGATAAGTGGTGGTGTTACTCAAATAACATTAGAAAATGTTTGATAACCGCAAAAGAAACCACATTAATTTTACCAATTCTTGCATAAATTTATAATCTTTTCATTTTTAAGGATTATATTTTATGAGAATGCCTCATTTTTATATTAAATTAGGGTAGAACCCAGTTTTTGTTTTGGTGTTTATGCAGCAGCTGGGGAGTCAGTCAAGTGGTTCAGGGAGTCTGGTCTGGGCAATCTTAATGGCAAACAGGGAAAAGACATTGCGAGGAAAATAACATGCTGCCAGCATTTCTAAATTAATAGGAAGTTGTTTTTTTAAATCAATATGGCAATCTGATTATTCAGCATAGCTGGGTATTCATCTTAGCTAGAGGACAGCAAAACCTGCTGGAATGGGCTAGACCCTAGGGTATGGCATGCTTATAATTTGTACACTAGGGCTAGTACCTATGCTTAACGGTTAGAATATACTAAGGCCTAAGCCTATATCTTTGCATGATACTAAATCATCTCAACAAAGTAAATACAACTTTAATTTCATATATACCCTACGTCATCACAAACAACATCCAAACAACACCGTTAACTGTGTCGAGCCCCATCGAGAGTCGGGGAAGAACATTAGAAAAACCACATTGTAGAGAGCATGTGATCTGCCCTACAAAGTTGCTATGAAGCAAAAAGTAAACAACCTCGTCCGTCATAATATAGCATAAAACATGCGTATATATTTTGTAAGATACTTTATCATCACGAATATTAAGCACAGTAAGTTAAAACAAATTCGGCCGAGCGTTGAGCCCTGACTGAGTGAAGAACATGGGGAAAAACCACGTAGTAGAGAACATGTGATCCACTCTACGAAGTATGCTAGGAAGCAAGAAGTAAACAACCTCATATTTGATCATCACAAATAAAGTTATATCAAAACAAACAGTTTTACAGTAATGTTTTATTCATATTTGATCATGAATAAATTAAGTCAAAACAAATAGTTTACAGTAATGTTTTATACAAACACATTTTCCCATATCATCACTATCAAAAACAACATTGACAGAGAAATGAGAGCACGTAGCGAGCACACGATCCACTCTTCAAAATATGACATGGATGCAGAGTGCTCCATCTAGCTTACTCCAACATTATGGTCATGGCGTGAGTAAAGTAAAAATAATGAATATGGGTCTATTTCCAGCTGATTGGTGATCTGTTTTTGAAAAGATAACAAATAATTCAATAATCTATTTAATGATTGAAATAAATATTTTGTATCAAGTTTAAATTTCATTTAATAACATTTTAATTAAACACACTTTTACGAACGTCAAACCTGTGTTGTTCAATTCAACCTAAATTTGTGTGAACAAATTTGGGGATTAAACATGTGCGTTGATTTTTCGTCCATTCGATC